TACTTTTCACACAGAAGTTCTGAGGTTCACACACACCCACACACCATAGCTGTCAATGTTTTCCTTTTCTTAAGGGAAATCCCCTTATTCCGAATAGGATTCCTCACAAGAAAAGGGAAAAGTTGACAGCTATGACACACACACCCCCAAATCATTGTGGGGTTTGACACCTGAAACCCTAGAGAGCTTCTGTCAGTCAGCCTAGATAGTGGCTAATCATTGGCTCTCCAAATATTGCTGGACTGCAACTTCCATCATCTAGCTCATTATATTGCATCTTCCTATGTTTCTAAAACATTATTCTGATCCCATTTTTTCAAGGACCTGTTCTTTCGAGACTTTGTGGATCTCAACTAGGCAGAGGGTTTTCCAGGTATGGTGCTCCACCATAATAATGCCTATTATTATTATTATTAGCCATCTGCATATAAGACTCTACCCCAAAGATTGTATAAGCTAAAGCAATGAATATAAGCAATGCAATAAAAAAAAAGCTTAACATGAAGTATTCAGCAGCCATTACATCAGATATAATAGAACCAGCTAACCAGCTCAGGGATCGCATAACTAGTTATTATCTATTATTATCTTTTAGGTGCATACCCCTTTTTTCCATCCAAGCTTTTCAAGTAGGGCAGATCTGAACACTTTAGCCAACTGTTTTTATGTCTGCATTTTATGGTGTTGTTGGTAGTAGCAGTTTAAAAACTGCTGTAAACTGTAACTGTTGTAAACAGGAGCCAGTGTGGTGTAGTGGTTAAGAGCCGTAGTCTCGTAATCTGGTGAACCGGGTTCGCTTCCCCGCTCCTTCTCATGCAGCTGCTGGGTGACCTTGGGCCAGTCACACTTCTCTGAAGTCTCTCAGCCCCACTCACCTCACAGAGTGTTTGTTGTGGGGGAGGAAGGGAAAGAAGATTGTTAGCCGCTTTGAGACTCCTTAAAGGGAGTGAAAGGCGGGATATCAAATCCAAACTCCTCTTCTTCTTCTTCTTCTTCTTAACTGCCCTAGAATACATTTTTTAAATTTTATTTTCATGAAGGACAGCATATTAATATTTTAAATAAATAAAAAATGCATTTACATACATTTACAAAGGAAGAATAATAATAGTTGACCATATACTTCTGCTGCACAATTTCAATGAGACATTGCTTATTTTTATTGATTAATTGATTGCATTGCATTTATATTCTACCTTTTTCTCTGAGGAGCTAAAGGAGGCATGCATGGTTCTCCCCCCTCCTCATTTAATCCCCACAACAGCCCTGTGAGGTGGGTTAGGTTGAGAAGCAGTGACTGGCCCAAGGTCACCCAGTGATCTTCATGGCTGAGTAGGGATTCGAACCCTGGTCTCCCAGGTCTTAGTCGAACACTGCAAACTTTTTACCATACTAGCTCCCACATCTCCACCCTCTCCCCAGATGCTACAAGGCTTAGAATATTTTCATATTCTGGAATACTTCCTTTTACTCGGAAATGGAATGAAGTGGTTTTGGTTGGTAGTTAATAAGATTGCTGCACAAGTACGCCATTCAACTCATTATTACCTATTTTTCATTACAACACTCCAAGTCGTTGTTCTAACGGAATATTTAAATGACTGAGAACCAGGCGCAAATCCAATGATGTGAAAAAGACAGGGCAATTTAAATTCTCTTGAATTTTTTAGGAACCAATAAATCATCTGGGTAACAAGATGAAGCCTGCTGGTACACAACCATACATAAAATAATATTCTGTATATCTTTTTTTTTAAAACCCTCTAAGCAAGCAGTGTGGGGAGCATATTCATAACTCCTTTAAAACCACAGTAAGGCAACTTTCACAAAGTGCTCGCCCTAATTTTTCAGTGTGTATTTATTAACGGCTGTTGTCTTTTATTATTTTTATTACAGCGGTACCTCGGGTTACATACACTTCAGGTTACATACGCTTCAGGTTACATACACTTCAGGTTACAGACTCCGCTAACCCAGAAATAGTGCTTCAGGTTAAGAACTTTGCTTCAGGATGAGAACAGAAATCGGGCTCCGGCGGCACAGCGGCAGCAGGAGGCCCCATTAGCTAAAGTGGTGCTTCAGGTTAAGAACAGTTTCAGGTGAAAAAACAGACCTCCGGAACGAATTAAGTACTTAACCGGAGGTACCACTGTATTTTAAAAAAGACTGAACACTAAAGCACAAGAGCTATAGGGTTGCCATATTTCAAACAGTGAAAATCTGGACAGAAAAATTGTTGAGCTTTTTATTTTTTGGCACTGCTTCTGAATGCAGTATTCCGGATATGTCCAGGAATTTCTGGACGTATGGCAGCCCGTATTTCTGGACGTATGGCAGGACGTATTATCACCAAAACCTAGAACCCCGCTCTCATGTGTGAATGGTGACACTTTCCAAGATGGAATTATGCAATGATATTTGGATTTCACAAGGGTTGTTGAACAAAAAATCACAGAGGCAAATCCTCCTTTTCCCCCAGAGGTATTTGGTTGGCCACTGTGAGAACAGAATGGTGAGCAAGATAGGCATTTGGCCTGATCCTGTAGGGCCTGATCCAGTGTGTTTATGCACCTGTTATGCTAAACCACTGTCCATATTTTGTCTCGATTATTGCCTTTGGGAAATGCCTCGTTCAACTTTTGTCAATACAGGTCGCTAAAGTTTGCTTCTTCTGGATTCAGTTTCCTCGCCACCAAATTTAACATTTCTGAGTGCTGCTTCATTCCGAAGGAAACACAGTGAGAGCCGTTTGACAGTGGAACAGTCTCCCTCGGGAGGTTGTAGACTTTCCTTCCTTGGGGGTTTTTAAGCAGAGGTTGGATGGTCATCTATCATGGATACTTTAGTTAAGATTCTTGCATTGCAGGGGGTTGGGCCAGATGACCCTCTGAGTCTCTTCCAAGTCTACAATTCTATGATTCTGTGAACCTTTTCTCTACTGAGTTTTACAGAGTCAACACTGAGCAGGAGGAAGTTGAGGGGCAGCAGGCAGGTGGGGACGAGGATGGTGGGGCAGAATATCATTTCCCCGAAAGGACCAGCTTCCACTGCCTCCAAGTATTAGTCCAAAACAGCAAGGACAGACTATTTCTCTACAAAGCTTTCCTTCCATTGCCTGCTTTCACCTACTCTAATACTATCCAGAAGTTTTCAGACATAAAGCATGTCCTATAACTTCCTCATCCATTCCAAGGTGAACTTAATGCTGAGTGCAGACTATTTTTTAAACACACACACACACACAATTTCCCACACAGCACTAGTCTACCTACCTACCAATGTTGCATCAAAGCAAGTGTTGTGCCATGATTCCCAATGCTGATTCCTATCATTGCCAAAAAAAAAATCTGATATTTTGGGAAAGAGGGTTTATTGTACAAATCACTCCCCAATCCACTTTAATTACACAACCTAAACTGGGTGAGTGTATGGCATGTGACTAAATCCCACCTGAACACAGTGTCTGTCTGCAAGTTCCCCCAGCACTTCTTTAACCAAAAAGAATAGAACCAAGTAAATGTTGACTAGGCTTCCAAGACAGGGCTGGATTTAGGTTTGCTGAGGCCCTCAGCTACTGAATGTAATGGGGCCCTTTATATGTCCAGCTGTCCTTCGTCAACAACAAATTGTTGCTGTTTTTTGTATTGAATATATGCTATATGGTAATTTATGCACCTATTAGGTATCTGAAGCCATTTGCACATAACAAAATATGTATTTTTCCATAATGGGGATATTTTGGTTCAAACCTAACTTATTGATGTACCAAACGCTGACATGTTTCCAATTTTAAGTCTTTCAGCTGTTTTCTGTACAAGATGGTTTACAAAAAGTCAAGATATAGAAATTGCTTATTTTAAAAGATTGACTCTCTGTAAATGAGGGTTTCATAAATAAATGTAATCTAAATCTTTAAAAAAAAAAACAGCAAGGGGGCAATAGGGAGCTCAGGCATGGGGTGTGGGAGGATAAGAAAAGCACAGCGATCCTTGGTATGAATGTCTCTTTTCTTATCTGTAGTATAAAAAATCATTCCTATCCTTCACATATTGTCCAAACGTAGTTCAGGATGATTGCTTCCAAACATTGCTACCCCAGACTTGACAAAGGGATCAGCATTAATCTCATAACAATGGGGAGGATTTCTTTTAACCAAAAGAAAAAAGAAAAGAAAATCAGCACTGAAAGTCAAACATGATCTAGTCTTCATTGACCTATAATCACTTAAAGCATGCCAAAGTGTTCCCCTGGGTGCTTTGCCTGATGGAAAGAGGCATCTTCGGTTATTCCATGCAGCTGGCGTTTATTCTTAGCCCAGAAGGCTCAGAGAGCTTATATTATTGATTTGATGTACCACAGGACCAGTCCCTTGGTACTTTTCAACCTCAGTGTGTTAAGTCTGAATAATTGCAAACACTTCTGGTTCCGTGCCACAGCGGTGGCTCTACCTGTGGAACGTGCCCTCCTACATGCAGAGACATAGTAGTAGTAGTAGTAGTAGTAGTAGTAGTAATTTATTTATACCCCATCCATCTGACTGGGTTTCCCCAGCCACTCTGGGCAGCTCCCAACCAAATATTAAAAACACAATACAGCATTAAACATTTAAAATTTCCCTAAACAGGGCTGCCTTTAGATGTCTTCAAAAAGTTGGATAGTTGCTTATTTCCTTGACATCTGATGGGAGGGCGTTCCCCAGGGCAGGCGCCCTCTGCCTGGTTCCCTGTAACCGCACTTCTCGCATACATGTGGACACAGAAGCAAACAAACAAAATCCCCACAGGGACTTAGCAGCTCTCTTTCTGCAAACTCAGATCCACTCATCCATCTCACTCAGCATTGCTTACACTGACTGGCAGCAGCTCTCTGGGCCTGCATGGGGACACAGGAAGCTGCCTTATACTGAATTAGACATCTGATCCATCCGGTACAGTGTTGTCTACAGTGACTGGCACTGGCTTTCCAGCATGTCAGGAAGGGTTCATCCCCCCTTCCCTACTTGGAGATGCTTGGGAGTGAACCTGGGGTCTTCTGCACACAAAGCATATGCTCTGCCACTAAGCTACAGCTCTTCCCTAGGCCATTATGAGGTTGTGGGGTGCGAGACACCATAAATCTATGGGTCCAATAAAAGTCAGAATTAATCGAGGCTTGGGGAGTTAATCAAGGTTTGGGGAGCTTCCCCTCCTAAATCAACTAAATAAATAAAAATACTTAACTAACTAACCAATTGCGCCACCAATTGCCCCCCTCTATCATAAAGCCTGCCCCCAACCCCTGGCTACGCCCATGGCCTGGTGATAGCTCACTGACTGTGGGTCTTTAGGGGAACGAAGTCTGGGAGTGACCTGGGAGATGAGTCATTGTGTGGACAGGCGGAGTCTCCCCAACCCCAGGTGACTCCCGAGTGGAATAAGGTCTCAAGACAACGTGCTATGGGATTAAAATTGGCCACAACTTTATCAAGTTTCAGAGGAAGGGAGACCTTGGCTCAGACATTGGGCATTTATCCTTCCCAGTCCCCAAGCGGGGATCTGGGCGACTTCAGGGTTATCCAGAATGTGTGGGGATTGGGCTGGCTCTGGAGAACATATGTTCAAGTAAAGAGCCCGCCCCCCCCATTTCGCCGGCGTATGGCCAATGCCTCCCCTCAAGACCCCTTTAACGGGGAACCCTGGGATCACCGCCGCAGGGAGGGTGTGGGTCACCACTTCAAGCCCCCCCCCCCTCCATTTAAGAAGAAAGACTAAAGGATTCTGCCCAAAGCCTGAAACTGCCAAAGTTGGGCCATTTTGCTATGGGGAAGGAAAGACCTGCCAATGAAGGGAAATTCCTTTCCGGCCCTTCAGCAGTGACCCTGACGTAGCAGCGCCCACCTACCTGTGGAGAAGAGGTTAACCTGCAAAAGAAGTCTTAACTGAGGGAGGGGAGGGTGGGAGAAGCTCTGAAGCCAACTGACACTTAGCAGGTAAGATTCACCTTCTGTTGTGTGGGCAGGGCGGTGCCTCCTCTTTCCTGGCCAATCCCCTGGCAACGCCTCCCCAGGCGGGATTGGGCGATTGGCTGAGGCAGGCAGAGACCTCCAGGTATCCAGCCTGGGGAGGGCGAAGCCAGCCCGTACTACCGGGAGCCGCACTGGGATCCGGGGGGGGGGGGCCTCCGGCCATGCAAAAGGCGCCTCCATTTGATGTTGGGAGCGGTCATTAAACCAGAGCATTAGCAGGTGAAGAATGTTTCAAACCAGCAAACGGATGGAGCACTGTCCTGAGCAGAGAGATAGTCAGAGATTATGGGAGTTGTAGTCCAATGGTGATGGGAGTTGTAACAATCACCAAGGCATGACGATTCCTGCAATGGAATGCATTTCCAGTCTCCCTCCTGATTTCCCCCATTTTCTTTGTCATTCAGATTTGTTTTGATGTGCATAAAATACTTTCTCTAGTTTAAGATTAAAAACACCAATCAAGAGTAAATAAATTTTAAAAGCTTATGCAATCAGGAAATTCTCAGATTTGTGCCTGTCTGTTAAGAGAGAAAAGCAGGAAATAATGCAGGGGGGGGGGAGAGATGAATTACAGTCGGTAACAGCTGAAATCAAAGCAATTTGCCGTGTGTTTCACAAGAGATCAGAGAAGCTCTCCAGAGGCTCAATGAGGGGGAAATGGAAGGTAAAGCTTTAGCAATAAAGCTCAGAGACAATAAAACAATGTTATTAATGGGAATATTGGGTTGGTTGTTTAGGCATGAAAATGATTGTATCTTATTCCCATTTCCTGTTGTATAGTTACGTATTAAGATTAACAGAATAGTCCTGAGCATTATTTAAATTAATTAAAAGGTTGGTTAAAAAATAAATAAATCTAGTTCTTCAGCCAAAAACAGGTTCCGAGGAGATAGGGCACAAAAGGAAAGCAAGTTGGGAAGGAGAAGGAAAAAAGAAAACTTGGTCACAGTTTCTGCATTGCAGAGTTCTTGCAATGACTAGAGGGTTTTCAGAGAGCAGCCAAAATGTTCTGGTGTTGAAGCAGAGATGATGGAAAGGACATGAAGCACCATCTGTCTCTGATAGCCTGGTGAAATGGCTGTTGAAGATGACCACTGAAGGAGGACCACAGACCCAAGTCTCTCATAGTCCCACATGCCAATGGTAGGTGAAGCCCAAGGCAAAAATGGGTGAAGAAATTAATACAAACTTTACCTTTTTTACTGTAGGCTGTTTTCTACACATGTTCACACAACCCTCCCTGTCCTCCACTTAGGCAAGCAAGAGGCATGATCAGAATTCAAGGCCACATTCCAGCCAGGTGAAAATGTTCCATGTGCAAAGCAGGATCCATGAGAGATATGGGCTAGTGCCAGAAAGAGAGACCTGGAGAGCTGCATGTGGCTCCTACATAGTGAGCTATTAACTATGGCTCACTGTGACGCACGGACGAGACCACAGCATCATTTGCCGCTGCTATTCCCACCACTCTGAAACTGAACAGGCTCCCTTCCCTCCTCCCTCCTCCCCCTCCCCACTCCTGACTGCCATAATAAATGGAAAGTAAAATGTTTGCTTTCTCTAAATACGTCAGAAACTTGAGCATCATTGTCCTTGTGCCGATTTTAAACAAAGGGTGGTAAAGAAGATCTGCCAATTTGCAGCAAGAGAGATCCTGAAAGCAGCTCCCATTCATCTCATTGTATCCCAGAATATCTTTGCAGTCATAGTTGGGGGAATCTTTGAAAGAAGAAGCGGGAGGGGGAGAGTTGACAGCTAACCCTTCCGCCTTGCGCTGCAGCAAAAGAAGAAGAAAAGCTTTATGGTTTTACAGAGCATAGCTAATTGAAAGCAGGAAAGAGACATTTGCTTGTCATCCTTGTCTCTCTCGCTCTCTTTGGTTCCAGCTTTTGGGCTGCTGTGAAAGGATGGATCATATCCCCAAACGAGGAACATATTTCCTGTTGCTGCTTTGAAGTCAATGGGAGGCGGCTGGGTGCAGAAGGCTAGCATCAAAGGGTTGGCTTGCTGGCATCTATACTGCAGTAGAGTTATTTTCTGCATTCGGATGACGACACCGGGGAATGTTGTTTTATCGTCAACATTTTTCATTGTAGGAGCTATTACAGGCAAGGGAGAAACATGATTAGATGGGAATTTTAGGCTATATGTCTACAGGTGGGTGGCTTCATCTATATTCAATACCCTGCTGTGCTATTTGAATGCTGGTAAAGCAGGGGTTGCCAACATGGCACTCATGGGTGCCGGTGTGTCCAGCAATACCTCCTGTGGTACCCTTGAAAGTTCTTAGTAAATATCTCCCCAAAAATCCACAGCACTGTTTGCTTTTCCTCCTCAATTCCTGATCGCATTGGCTCAGCTTCCCCTACAGTCAGCATGCCTTTGGTCTATGCCCCCTTATCAATGGAAATTTTAATGACTCTCAAGGAGAACTTCCATAATTGCATCCAATCACATAGTGAGTCTTTTTTTTTTCCTGCCCATGTTACTCGGCATCTACCACTTCCTCCCTCCATTGCTGGGTCCTGTGAGGGACAAGCCTCTTAGCCACAAATTTATATTTATCAGAATACAACAACACCCTCTTGGAGGCCCACCCTCCCATCACAAGAACATAAGATGAGCCTCACTGCTGGTGGACTACCTAGGTGGCCCACAGAGTTCAGCATCCTCTTTTCACAGAGGCCAACCTGTTGCCTATGGGGAACCTGCAAATGCTAAGTAGGTGTCATGGCCTGTGAGGAATTAACTCTTTATTGCCAATAGTACACTTACAAATTAGGAAGTAAAGCACGTCCCTTGGTCCTACGTCTCTTAGCTACCCCTAGTTGTGCACATGATGAGGCAGCTGCCACAACAGAGAGACCTCACACATACCCCATTCAGCTTATGTATCTCCTGCACCCAAGCTGCTGCACTATGCCTGAGTATAACCTGCTTTTGCTCCTCCCTCTTTGATCGTCTTCTGGTCCTGGGAGACAGTGGAGCAGAAGAGATGGGGGCAAGAGGAGGAGGTGTAGCAGCCCTTGACTCTACACCAGACCACCCATCTCTCCTACCTCCTGTACCTGCATTCCTCCCCCCCCCCCCCGCCTCTCATCTTCCTGCTGTTACAGGCTCCTCCAGTCTCTGACCCTCTTCTCCAGGTGCCCACTCCTTCAGTATCCAACCTCCTCAGTGTCCAGCCAGTCCCTGACAGTAAGATCCAAGCACAACAGCACTCTCCCCTTCCTGTGGCCTCCAGCAATTGATATTCAGAAGCATATACTGCCCTTGACAGTGGAAGCAAAACATAGCCATCAGAATTAGTCACCACTGAGCAGAAGCAAAGCTTTCTTTCTGTGAGCAAATGTGGCAGTAAAAAGAAAAGGAAGGAAGGAAGGAAGGAAGGAAGGAAGGAAGGAAGGAAGGAAGGAAGGGGCTTTAAGGGCCAGATTTGGGCCCCAGGTGAGGTTCCCAACCCCTGACAAACATAGTGCATGAGGGATACCAGGGTTTGCACAAGACTTCAACTGTTGACCAGGGGGACAGCAATCAACTTGTGTGCCACCTCAGCTAATGGAAGGCATTGCAAGGAGACAAGCCACATCAGCCAAGGTAGCGTCTTTGGAGCAGTAAAGTCAGAGCAGCTGAAATTCTCCCCTGACCTTCCCAATCTGGTCTGGCTCTGGCAGCCAATAAAGGTCCCTGTTGGCCTTATATGCAAACTCTCCTAGGCTTGGTCCCAATCTGGTCAACTTGTCTCTGACAGAAGAGCCTCTGCCTTGCCTCTCCTTACAAGAGCCCTGCAAGGGAAGCAGAGAGAGCTGAGAAAGAGTCACTGGTCCAGGATCACCCAAGTGAATTTTGTGGGTCTTCTCTGGCCCAACACAGCACCATGCCGGCTTTAATATGACTTTGGCCTCAGCTGGCTGGCCTCAAAGAGCAGCATCAGCATCTTTTGCAATGTGGAGTTTGCAAGTGGGCAGGTGGGCAAGGAGGAAATAACATTCATGCATATATATGTATATGTGGGATTAGCATCTTCAAGCATTTTCTGATCAAATCTTCCCCCCCCCCCCCCAA